AAAAAAAAAGAAAAGAAAAAGGGGTCATTAGAGAAAAGGCCTTGACCATAACAGCAAAATTGATCTACTTTTCAAAAAGAAATGTTTCGTTTTTCAATTGCATAATCATTACTACCAAAATAAATTATGTAGTTTGTGGGGAATTCTACTGTCATGGACCTATTATGTCGGAGTTTGTAAGTGTTAGATAATCATATAACTGTCGAGAATAATTGATCTATCGGTTATAAATCCCGACGAAATAGTTTCGTGAGCCAGCACCATCTCTCCTAGTTTGTTGCGCCAAATGTGGTACATTTAAAGTCAAATATTTCGTTTTCCAGCTAATCAAAAACAAAAAATGTTTTTCATCATGCTTTAGCGAAGGTCTCATTGTGAAAGGAAAATGGAAAATCACACACACACACACATATATATATATATAATATTCATTCACATGAAGTCAAAAATACTGTAGTAACTTTCATTTCCATTTTAAATATATATATATATAAATTAAATTAAAAATGTCCTTAGTCTGCATGCGCTGCTCTTCCCCATAGAATCACAAGCCTTTGTTTGTCAATTTTAATTTTCTATAAAATAAAAGAGTTTTGCATTGAAGATGAAAAACTTGATGACAAAGGCCTATGGGATCAAATTTTACCCTTTACCTTGTCTAGTCTTATTCACTGCAAGCCCTGATGTGCCATAAATGATGCCAAAAATAGCCAAAGGCTCTGGACTAAAAAATAAAATCAATATCAACTATTTTTTATTTTTATTTTTTTTTTCTTTTCTGTCAACTAATGAATTAAATTCTCTTGCAAAATGCTAAATTAAATGTCATCACAAGCAGCCATAATTTTTAATTTATTAATATTATTTTTTAGTGATTATTATATATGGGAGATGCTACGGTCTCGTTACGGAACCATTCCGTCAGGATTTATAACCGCTAGATCATCATATAACCGTCGGGAAAAGTTAAACTAACGGTTACAAACTTCGACGAAATGGTTTTGTAACGATACTGTAGCATTTTCCATTATATAAGGAGATGTTACGTTTTCTTTTTTTCTTTTGTGATTATTATATATGGAAGATGTTATGGTCCCTTTACAGAATCATTCCGTCGGGATGTAACCGTTATTATAATGATGCAGTAGTCTGTAGAAACTGCAAGATTTGCCGGCCAATATATATATATGTATTACACAAGAAAATAGGGGTGGGTTTCACATTCATTGCTTCATCATTACAACAAAGAAGCAACGAAGACAACTGTGAATCATTGCATTTTTTCTTTCACATTTCGTCCATTTGTCTCTACCCAAGGACAGTGAAATTTGAAAGAGACTTAACAACATATATATATATATGTATGTATATATCTATTTCAAATTTGGTGGTTAAAAAAAGTAGATTTTTTTTTTTTGGGTCTTGAAATCAAAGCATTACAAATTCGTGATATCCCTTCCTGTATTTTAATTTTAAAACGTGTTGAGCCTAGATGAAAGGTTCTCACGCTTCGGATGCTGATATGGCAAAAATCTATGCTTCGTGATGTTTTTATATTATTTTTGCTCTAGAATTAAGTTAGGTTTGGTATTAGACATAAATAACTTTACACATATATTCATTAACTCAACACCTATATTGTACATAGGTATTAATACTAGTTCTATTATTATTACTTTATATTGTTCTTTTTGTGAATGGAATTAACCGTGTCACTATTTATCAGGTTTTGCATTAATATAATATATTCTGGGACTCCACCATAGTATATATATGACCTTATTATTTGTCAGTTTGTTAAACTTTTGTTATGCAGTGTATTGTAGAAATATATTTCCAAGAAAATAATGCTAGTTTAATCTAATATTTCAACATAACTGGTTGAGATATTATGATGTGTAAGCGTGTGGAATTTAAAATTGATTTAATGTATGATGTCACAGAATTCTGGAAAGGTATATATTATGTCAAAATTTTGCCATCCATTGTTCTTTGGAACATATGTATCATCCTACACAAATAACTCATTTTCACTCTTGGATCGAGCCATCTTGACTTGACTAGAGAGGAGGATCAGATGATATGAGATAACTACACCAGGTCGGTAGACTAAAAAAAGTGACTTACCAGACTAAGTCAGTCATCAGGTCGAACGGAGTAGGAAGACCCTACAGGTCGAAAGAGTCACATGTCAAAGAGGATATAAAGGATGCGAGGAGTACCGGTAAGTCGAACGGGGCCCCTGGATGGCCTAGTGGAAATTCGACCTGAAAGAGCACTTGTCGAAATATCGACCAAATGGGCATAACAGCAGAGCTCGACATCGATGATGACACTCCACCTTGAAGTAATTGGAGTCAGTCGTATGGTTAGACCGTTTAATGAAGAAGACTAAAGGATAAGAAGAAATATTATATGGAATAAAACCCTACGTGGATAGCGCCACGTGGCATAACAGAATCGGACTGTTATGGCAGCTCAAGAAGTACGAACGGGCAATCTGAGCAGCCAACGCGGGCAGGCATGGGCAACAAGGTATCATTTTTCTATATAAGGGAGTGAGGTATGCCCTGAATTACATTACACTATTTACAGATTCATATTATGCACTTCATCATCTACAGGTGCTAACTTAAGCTTCAGAGGCTTTTCACCAGAAACTCCTCCGGTGTGAAAGTTCTGCAGGTCCCAAGACGTTCAACCGTCGATCGAACTCGAGATCTAGTAATTTCCAGTCGTTTACAACCGGTTGGAGGTCTTTACGATACCATGTCTATTGAAGGTCGTCACACCTAGGTTTTTGTTTCCTCATGTCCTTTCGCCATGAACGTCCTATTCTTGTTTTGCACTTTGAGAAGCTGGGTTTCTTTGAATTGATCAAGGGTTTTAGGATTGAGAAGTCTTATCGCCTCGGTTGGTCGTTTTTCTGATTGTATTATCTCTAAGTTGATATAATACAAAAATATGTTTAATATTATATATAACTCCGGTAAATGCCAAATTGTGGTTATGGGCCTCAAATGGTCTTCTACTAAATTGGGTTGGTGTTGGGCTGAGTACCGGTGTACCTTCATGAAAGGCTTTGTTGCAATATCATGTAATTAATTGAGGAAATTGCACCCCATACTAACACAATTAAATTATATTACACTTTTCTACTCCTTATATATTTATTTTTAAAATTACCTAAAAAGTTACAAATATTTTTAATTATACCTAGAATCCAAAATACACTCCAAGACTTCTTCATTTTTATTCTTCGCCGTCACTTCTGTTTCTCCTTTACCAATCCCCAAATTTCTTTCTTCTGCAATTAGTAGAACCCCAAAAATCTCACAACAATCAAATCCCAAATTTTAATTTCTTCTTCCCGCACCCGCGTAGGGCTTCCGGCAACGGGGTGGTCGACGGTTGGCTTGCGAAGGTCGCAGCCCATCGGAGGTCGGGGCCCGTCGAAGGTCGCAGCCCATCAGAAAGCGATCGGAGATGGAAATCATGAAGGCGCGGAGTTGAGGAGGGAGGAATCGGGCGATTATTCTGGCCAACCCATGTCCGAATTCTTCTTCAAATTTGTCGGAGTTCGTTGTGCAAATCGTCGATCTGAAACCGACCGGTACCAAGTACATGTGTATGTTTCGAAGGTCTGGAGATAAGACGGTATTTTCAGATGTTCTACGCGCTCAAGTATCGCAAGTTGGTGAATTCATATATCTGGTTATATGTTGGGTATATCCGAGATAACTTTTACAATTTCTGTAATATGTTAGGTTATATGTTGGGTATATCCGAGTATATCCGAGGTAACTTTTCTCTGGTTATCTTGTTATATGTTGGGTATATCCGAGTTAACTTTTCTCTCTATCCGATGTATCTTTTCCTCTTTCTATGCTATACACTTTGTCACTGGCTTTCTGCACCTGTTACACATTTTAATATATTTGAAGTATATTTTTGGTGTATGTCAGGTAATAATCCCTCAAAAAAAATCTCAAAATTTTGTGATTTTCAAATATCCGACAAAATTACGTAAATATACCTCGATGTATCTGAATCGTGAAGTCACGATTTTCTGTATTATATCTTCGGTGAACTTATTCGATTGCAAGAACTCCGACCATCGAATGTTTCAGTAGTATATGTTCGGGGTTATTGAGTTTTTTTTCGGACGATTAAGAGAAGGTTGGCAATTCAAATGTCACATCTTTTCCATAAAAATAGGGCTGATTCGAATTTAAATTGAAGATCACGATTTTTTTTTTTTTTTTGTGTTTCTGGTAGAAATAATGGCAGAAATCACGGCATGCCATTTGTGAACAAGAACGTTACCAAGAAACTGAATGGATGCAATCTCTTAAATAAATTAGGTGGTTTTAGGTATAAGTGAAAATACTTTTCCATGAAAGTAAATTTGAAAATAATTTAATATCTAGTAGGAAGGGTAAAAATTTCCCTAATTAATTTGGGATGGCTCTTTGAATTACCCCATCAACTCCCGTCTAAGACCAAAATAATTGGGCTACAATGTTACCTTTTTTTCCGTCACTCATTTCTTGTCCTCCTTTTAAAAACAGAGATTGAGAAAAACCAAACGTCATAAATTGAATCTTATTGGTTAAATTTAAATTTTTTACTAGAAGTCAACTCAAGAAGATACATCTTTTTGGAAGC